ATGTATGCCTGCAGGCCAGAAGAGGGCACCAGACCTCTTTACAGATGGTTGTGAGCCACCATGTGGTTGCCGGGAATTGAACTCAGGACCTTTGGAAGAGCAGGCAATGCTCTTAACCACTGAGCCATCTCTCCAGCCCCTAATCACTATGATGTTAAATCAGTAACACATCAGTAACAGGTCTGGGTATGGTGGCCCACGCTTTTAATTCCATATACAGGTGGACCTCTTGGGGTTCATAGTCAGCCTGGTCTACACAGTGAGTTACAAGACAACAAAGGCTATGTAGAGAGAAACTATTTCAAAAAAAAAATCAAAACAAAAAATAGTTTCAAACAAAAGTTACTATAAATTTAGCAAAAGGGGCCATTCCCAATGCATTCTTAGTAAATGGTTTTAAAAAACTTTAAATGTTATATAAACTTAACATTACATAATAGTGAAGTTTGTATTCATACCACTTAGGGACACTGTTTTAAGACTATGTTCTACCTTAAACTTTTTGCTATGCTTTGATAGTATCAAATTATTATGAGAATCTAAAAATAAAAAAATCTCAATTTAGTGTGTATTTCTTGTTATTGGACATTTTTAGTTTCCTATTCTAAGAAAAGTCTGTCTTTAATATTACATTGCTGTGGTGGTTTGAATAAGGATAGCCACCATTGGTTCATGTATTTGAACGCTTGCTTGATCCTCAACTGGTGGAACTATTAGGGAAAGGATTAGGAGGTGTACCCTTGGTGGAGGAAGTGTGTCACTAGGGGTGTGCTTTGATTCTTAAAATCCCATGTCATTCCCGGTTAGATTTCTTCAGCCTTGTGATTGTCGAAAAAGATATAAGTTCTTTTGTGCCATTAATACCTGCTTGCCCAGCTCAAGATATAAGTTCCCAGCTCCTGCTCTTGCACCATGAATACCTGCTTGCCTGCTCTTTGTCATGATGGTCATGGACTATAACCCTCTGCAACTGTAAGCCACAATTAAGTCTTCAGCAAGTTGCCTTGGCCATGGTGTCTCTTCATAATAATAGAAAAATAACTAAGATACTTTTTTATCCTAACCAATATTCTGTGTGGTATTCTCCAATGCTCCCCTATAAACGGTTCTAACATTCTGTTCATTCATCATAATTCATAATAGCTTTTCAGTGATTTATACATCTCCCTCCCAGTTTTCCATTTCTAATGCTTATCTTTGTAAACTACATTTTTATTTATTATGTGGTTTACATAGGTGTATAGGTATGAGTATGCCATGATGCACATATCAAAGTCAGAGGACAAATTCCAAGAACTTGTTCTCTCCTTCCACCACGTGGGTCCCTAGGATAGAACTCAGGCATGGTGGCAATCGCCTTTAACCTGTTGAACCATCTTGCCAACACCCTGTCGCTTATCTTTGTATCTCCACTATGTGGCAGCAATGAGTATGTCCTCAAAAAACACTTGTTGCATGGATATTATTGCTCTCACTTAAAGGGCAAAGAAACTGACTCAATTTGCCCAAGTGACATAGCCCTTACCTATTTACTTTACACAAATTATAATAGCTTTATCCTTGAAGTGTACTCTATAATTACAGCATTTAAAATATTATTGTACTTAAAGGTTCAATGCAACCAATAAAGCACATAGTTCACATGTATGTATGTATGCATGCATGCATGTGGGTATGTGTATATACCCAACATATACAGAAACTTATATGTATAGGACTTTTGATAAGCATTTTATCAAAACGCCCACTCAAATATTAATTTGTATATTGATATCTCTTTGTATACTTGATTATCAACAACTGGATATAAGAGTATATACATGCATTTTAGGGAGAACAGAGGGAAAGAATGGGGAAGTGGGAAGAAGTTAATAAAATAAAACACAGGCTTCAGACTAGATGTACATCTGTCCAAAGATTGTAAACTAGTACTATAATAGCAACTGCATGTGCTACTGTGAACTCTCATCTTGGCCCAAACTTTTCTTATTATCACTTTGTACTCAAAGAAAACTGCAGGATTTTCAACATATCAGCAATCTTTTTTTTTTTTTTTGGTTTTTCGAGACAGGGTTTCTCTGTTGTTTTGGAGCCTGTCCTGGAACTAGCTCTTGTAGACCAGGTTGGTCTCGAACTCACAGAGATCCGCCTGCCTCTGCCTCCCGAGTGCTGGGATTAAAGGCGTGCGCCACCACCACCCACAAATCAGCAATCTTAAAGGCTGAGGAAGCACACAAGTATTAGAAAACCTATTTTTTATTCAACTAAATGGAAAGGCAAGATGTAAGAATGAAAATGACATCTTTACATTACTTTAAAAATGAACAACAGATCTAGGTGTGCAGATGCACACTTGGAATTGTAGCATTCAGAAGGTTGAGGCAGGCGAATGATGCACTCAAGGACAGCCTGCACCAGATTTAAAAAAAGTTTCCACTTACTGAACCATATATGGTCCTTTAAAACTACACAAAATAAATGGTTTTAAAGGCGTTAATATTCATTAACTCTTTTCTATCTTAATTGATGCTGATGAATGATTAGTGTTGTAAGGACTCATTATAGATCAATAAGGTTATAGCAGAACCTTGAATTGGAAGACAATGAACAGTAAGGAACTTTGTAAAAGGAAAGATCATGGCAGCTAATGCAGTATACAGCACCACAAAACAGAATCCAATAGTCAAATAAAAAAGGTATTTCCAAAGATGAAACAAAAGGTTAACTTATCCAAATGATAAAGTGTGAAGCCCCAAATCTAGAACTGCCTAGACTCCATGCCTTCTACTTTTATCGAGACTTCTCAAGCCTTCCCACCTAAATTCTAATAAAAATTTGCTATAACGACAAAAAGAAAAAACATAAAGAAGCAACCTGGGAAGGTCAAGTGGAAAGAGAAAACAGAGACTAAGTACAAAGCTTAGCACTACCATGGCAAAGAGAAAATTTCTTTCAACCTCACCTATCACATTAGCTGATTCCAGCTCTGGGGCAGAAATGTTCAAGAATAAGCTTGGAACATTCAGACATACTGATAACAAGGAAAGTACCAAAAACTGGGGTTTGTGCCAGGAATAATCAGGAACCAACTTTATAATGTTATAAAGTCCTCCTAGCAGAACATAATACCATTTGTACTTCAAAACATTAGATTCACAAATGTTTATATCCATAAGTATCTAGTCATAAGCATTTTCAAAACCCTCAGAAACTACTAGGAACCCAAACCATTATATCAAAAGTTGTATTTAGGGGCTAGAGAGATGGCTCAGTGATTAAGAGAGTTTCCTGCTCTTGCAGAGAACTGGAGCTTAGTTCCAAGAACCAAAATGACCTTTAACTCCAGCTCTAAGGGCTCCAATACCCTTTTCTGCCCTCTAAGGGCACCCATACATAGCATACACTAAAGATATATAAACAATTTTTTTAAAAAAGGTGAGGCTGTGTTTAAAAGGAGAAAAGCTGGGTGTGAATCATACCTGTAATCCCAGCACTCAGGAGGCAAAAGCAGGAGGATACCATAAACTTAAAAGTCTGCCTGGGCTGCATAGTGAGTTCCAAGCCAGACCTAAAAAGAAAAGGAACTGAGAAGACAACTCAGTCAGTATATGCTTACTTACAAGCACAGGGTCTTAGGTTCCAGGACCCACATTTAAAACAAAACAAACAAAAACAACTAGGTGTAGTGTGCTTAGAATAACATCGTTAGGAAGGCAGAGAAGATCCTATCTCAAAGACAACAAGAAATAAATATAAGTGAACAGCATGAGGAATGACACTTGAAGCAAGTCTGGACACACGGACACACACACAAACACACACACTTTAAGAGACAAAAACTGAGTGTTCATCCTGCTTAATCAAATTAAAAAATGAGGGTAAACATAAAATGCCAGAATTGAAACATTATCATTTCACTGTCACCAACCCTTTAATGAACTAAAAGAAAACTCACATCATTAAAACACAACACTGTGAATGAACACATACCCTCCTCCAATGCTTGCCAGAGGGAATGAACGTGAATTTATCACACCTCTGGACCCAGCTGCCAATGTGCAGGAAATAGAACATCAGGGACTACAGTTTGAGAATCCCTGCAACAGAGGGTTCCAAAATTGCTTTTAGCTGAAGGCAATAATAAACTGTTCTCAACCTTGGTCAGAAGTTTCTTTCTGCAGTTAATGTAGACTAAGTGACTGAGTAGTCACTCATAAATGGGCAATATATATCAACCCTGCCCCAAAGCTCTGGGACTATTTAGGAAGAGGAGTCAGAAAGAATGTAAGAGCCAGAGGACAAGGAGGAATGCTATAAAATGTCTTCTAGATATGGCATAGTATTGTACTCATAAACTCACAGCAGCTGTAGTACCTATCTGCACAATCAAGCCAATCAAAATTCAAACATGGATAAGAAAGGAACATCGGCGCCTACCCCTACCTGAGGAGTTACCAGTAGCCGATGGCTATTGGGGAAGTCATTTTTCTTTAGGAAAGTGGCCACTGGTAAGTTGCACATGCTCCAGGAGATGGCTCCACACCAATGCACAACAATTATCAGACTCCATCATTTTTTTTAAAGAGTAGAACTATGAAGCTGGGACAGGAATTAGGAAAGTTAATGATCAAAATGAACTGTATATACATGTGAAATTCTCAAAGAATGTATTTTAGCTGAAGATGATACTAAAACAAGACTAAAGAGTGAAGTATTTCACTCAATCTGAGAAAGCAGTCTAGAAATAATAACATTCTGCCCTAACTACAGATATATACTAATGCTCTGATTATTAGCACCATCACTTGGAAATCCACAAATGCAAAACCTATTCCACCTCAAATTATAAAATCAGAAATTGGGGTTAGGACACAGCAATTTATTTTAAAGTTTCAAAGTCACTGTTTTGTCTTTTTTGGGGGAGGGGGGGAAGGTTCATAGCCTTGGCTGTCCTGAAACTAGCTCTAAAACCAGGCTGTCCTCAAACTCGGAGATTTTCTGCCTGTACCTCCCGAGTACTGAAATTAAAGGTGTGCTCGACCACTGGCTTCAGAATCACTGTTTTAAGTATGATGCATGCATTAACCCAATTCAACTTATCCAAAATCCTAAATGATAATAGGTAACACTTTATAGAAGAACAACTACACTTCAGCACAAAGGTTAATTTATACAGTATGATACAGTAGGTAAAAAACAGGGTCAGAACTTGGACTGAGGGAATCTTCTTAATGGTTATACAGAAGTCTTTCCACCAGTAAGAACTCAATTGGCAATGAAAGGAGAGCTTCCAGCAGTAGCACATATCTTAGTTCAGCTACTCATGGCTAAAGCAAGAGAATCGCCTTGCATAAGCATTCAAAGCTAATTTGAATTGGAAATTAATTACATTAAATTAGTTGGAAAAACACCAGCAAAGACTAGAATATGCCAATAAAAAATAGGCAAATAAATTTAGCAAATAACAACCATAAGTTATCTTTAAAAGCTGTCCCAAATATAAGCACCCACCCAATGTTTCTAATTATAAAGATTTAAAACCTGAGTTGTGCTAAAGGTGATACATAAATCCATAGCAGTTCATCTGTGATTAGCAACTTTTTAACTTTTTAAGATTTATTTTGGGCTGGAGAGATGGCTCAGTGGTTAAGAGCATTGCCTGCTCTTCCAAAGGTCCTGAGTTCAATTCCCAGCAACCACATGGTGGCTCACAACCGTCTGTAATGAGGTCTGGTGCCCTCTTCTGGCCTGCAGAAATACAAACAGACAGAATATTGTATACATAATAAATAAATATTTAAAAAAAAGATTTATTTTGCCGGGCGGTGGTGGCGCACACCTTTAATCCCAGTACTCGGGAGGCAGAGGCAGGCGAATCTCTGTGCGTTCGAGACCAGCCTGGTCTACAAGAGTTAGTTCTAGGAAAGGCTCCAAAAGCTACAGAGAAGCCCTGTCTTGAAAAAAAAAATTATTTTATGTGTATGAGTATTTGGCCTCACACACAATGTGTGTGCATGATGCACTAAAAGATCAGAAGAGTATCAGAGCCCCTGGAACTGAAATTTCATATGGTTGTGTGCTATCATATGGGAGCTGGGAATCAAACCTGGCAAGAGCAACAAGTGTTCTTAACTGGTAAGCATCTCTCCAGCTCCCCAATTTTTTAATTTTAAAACATAAGTATTTAAGTCCTCCCTCTACTTTTTACTTTTAGCCCTCTTTATTTACCACTATTTAAAAGAAAAAAAAACTACTTGCTTTCAACAACTGCTTTCTTTCAACACTTAAGAACAAAGTCTCTAAGTTGAAAAAAAATTTTAACATATATATTGAGTTCAATCAACTGAATCAGATCTACTGTACAATTTCCATTTGGTGGTACTTCATTTTTATTTTGTTCACTGGTGTTTTGCCATGGGTGTCAGGTCCCCAGGTATAAAAGTTACAGATGGTTGTGAGCTACTATGTGGATGCTGGGAATTGAACCTGGGTTCTCTGGAAGAGCAGTTTTTTTTTTAACTACTCAACCATCTCTCCAGCCCCTTGGTGGTACTTCATAAAAGCGAAACAAATTTCATGAAATCATTTCTATGTCACCATTATGATTTTAAAGACAACTAATGAAAAACTTTTTAAGGAAACTCAAAGTTGAAAATTATCAAGTTAACACCTCAAGCAAACTTATTTTACTCAGGGAGCCACTCCTTCATTCAAAGCATTTCTATAACCAGAAAACCAAGATGGTCAACAAGCACATCAAGTTTTACCAACTCAACCTCTATGACACATCAACTAAGAGACTTCCAGAGAATCTTAAGAGCTGAATTATCCCAGACATTATCATATATAAACATTTGGTAACCAGTCATTGAAGAGGTCAAAAAAACAATATAAGAAATCCTAAGAGCACAAACACTTGTGAACTGTCTGCCTCGTGTCTACCTACCCATGAGATCACTGCAGAGCAACCTAACATGATCAGATACACAACCGAATTACCAACTTAACCTTATTCCATGAGAAGCAATGTGGAATGTGAAGGGCAAATATATTTTCAAACAACCAAGTATGGCATTTCAATGATACTTTGAACTGGTGGTTAAAAACACACAACAAAGGAGAATTAAAAACCCAACACTGTTTCCATTGTGAAGTTCCAGTTTTAAGAAGGGAGTGATTCAAATATCGGAATGCCCACTGTGCACAATTCTGTACCAGTTATCCTAGTTTCACAAACTGGGGTTTGGGCCTAAGTGGTTTGGTTTAAATTACAGAAACTGAAATGTAAATATTTAATCATTATATCCAACATACTCAAAATGTTTTCTGTTGAAAGCATGAACTTGTTGGAATTCCCAAGAAATCCCTTATTTAATATTTAATCAATTTTCAAATAAGGACTTATTCCTCCAATAATGAACAAAGAGTGGAAACACCTGACCTCTGGCTGGTGATTCACAATCACATTCAAATACTTTTAAATTTTTCATTCATAAGACTTTTCCATTTTCTGCCTCTTTAACTTGCAATTCTTACCATTTTAATGACTGGCACGCACACCTTGTGCTCTGCCCACATTTGTGTTTAGTTAAAGGCTGGTTGGAGGCTTTAGTTTCAAATCTCATTTTCTGGTTTTGATCATAGAAAGAAACGTAATACAGACCCCAGAATGGATAACACTGTAAAGTTTAAAAAAAAAATGAAGGGGGCGGGGGAGGAAGCAAACAATTTACAACAACTGATGTTGGGGGAACTATTTCCAAGTGAAATAAGTACAACCCTAGGACAATTATACTATAATTGAGTGTAAAATCTGTAAGTAACAAAGTTCCCAAAAAACTTTTAATATTGCAATTTCAAGAACTGTGTTTAACAGCCAACCAGTTCTTAATAGCTAAATTCTGGGTCAGAGAAGCTAAGGTAACACTAAAATAAAAAGAACATTATAATAGAGCATAAAAACAACCAAACTACCTAAAAAACATTGCAAATACACATGAAAAACTCCAAACACATTATCAGGTCACTATCTAGAAAACATCAGCTTTTTCTTCCAGAAGGCCTATATTTCATAGGGATAACAGTAAGCGGGACCAGGACGTGGAACTAAAATCAAACTGCCACAGAAAAAGGAACCCACGAATAGCTATTTTAGTACACTGACCAAGCCAGCAGTCTCAACGTCAGCTAGAATATAAGCAGTTACTACCGTTGTTTGATTATAATAGGTTCTCTAGGGTCTTTAATAAGAATGTAATACACATTGCTATGGGCTTTAATTCTCAAATGTGAGGATAATATGATAACACAATTTAAAAAATAAATTGTAAAGAAAAAAATTGCCTGAAGTTTAAAATATATTTTAAGTCTACACAACTGTTTAGTAAATACAATTTTCTCTGGGTCCAGTGTCAAACAAACTATAAAGAAAACAAAGTATCAGGGAAATTTTAAAAATAGCCTATTTTCTACTTTTAAAACTCAATTTCTTCGATTGTGAAAATGATTTTGTGGTTATACTGTCAAGAATTTTCTCAGCTATCTATAAAATATTTACATAGATAAAAAACATGACAAGAGGGGTTTATTTCAAAGTAATTCCATGGGAAGGGGGATGCCAAAGGGTAAAACTAGAAAGGCTGAAAGTTGACAAATGTTAAAAGTACCTGGGGAAGGGAATGTCATACTACTTGGCTTGCTATGTTTCAAATTTTTATCAATTAATTTAAAAATTATGTACTGACTATATGCATTTAAACAGTTCCCTTTAATTTAGTAATGATCTCCATCCACTAAAATTAAAAAAAAATGACATCTGATCCACAATGGAACCAAAGCAACACAACCACAAAATGGAAATCCCAACCCCATCTCCATTTCAAGATGTAAAATACAAATGCCACCCACAAAGATCTAAAAAAACTAACCTAAAATCACAGTCAATCATAGTCATCCTGGTGGGAAATCCCAACACTGCTCCAACACCTTCCTGAATCTTCCTGACCAAATTATGGTCTACTGGTTTGTTCCTCTGAAGCACTAAAACCACTCAAGTCAGGCTACTGGAGGACCTACAAAATAAAAGGGTCAGAGGAAAAAAGCATATATTAGAATTGGGAGGTTAATTATTATATCAAAATTTAAACACAATCAGGTATTTCTGAAGCAACAGCCCTTGAACACCAATTTGCATTTTTAGGGCCTGCTTTGAGCAGTAACTAAAGAACTCAGAAATCAATAGCTATACAGTGTTTCTAATGACACTTAGACAATACCCCTGAAAATTGTTCTCAACCCAAACAAAATGATAGCATGTTTAACAAATGAATACTAAGGAAAATACTGTACACATTAAAATTATTTTTCACCTTCATAAGTGCTTTTTGGCCATACTGGGAGACAAACGATAAACATCCTGGGAATTCAAGGTTGAACTTTGTCACTGAATCTTAGACAAAGTTTTTATTTGGTAGTGCCACTCCTTCCTCTCTTCTCAGAGATCTACCTAGAATAAATTAAACCTTTTAGGTCATGCCTAGATCATCATCCCCAGATTTATTTATTATAACGCTGAAGGACGAGAGTCAAACAGTTAATTGGTAATTATTGCTTAACCCATTGTAAAAGGCACCAGGACAAGAATCTCAAAGTGACCTGTCTTCCAATGAAAGAGGAAGTTCATTTAGAGTACCTCCAACTCAAACAAACCCTGAAGCTCAAGACTGAAATCCACACATAGTTAATTAATTATCAGATGGGTTACCCACTCATACTTCAACCCCATCACCCAACCAACACAATTAGTTTAAAAAAAAAACATTCTACTATTAGTCTAATAAAAACATTAACAGTAAGGAAAACTAATTGCAAGTCAAATGTGTTAGAAAATATAAAATGGCAAAAGCACAACAGAAGGTAGTTATCAAAGAGCCAGCTGTGATTGCCTTTTGGGGGAAAATACTGGTATTTAGTTAGATCAACCTTCCTAATGTCTTGCATATAGGTATTAATTATCATGCTTAAAAAGACGCCTCCATACTGACCTCAGGAGCTTAATGAGGTAGAGGAAGAAATACCAAAAAAAAAAAAAAAAAAAAACACAACAACAACAAAAAACTCCCTAAGAGAAGTTCTCTTTAACACTGCAAAACAGCAGGGCATGAAACTTCATTACTTTTGTGGGGTGAAGGACAGGACAGATTGTCTTTTAAGGAGTGGCAGAAACGAGCAGGCAAGGGATGAGGCACTCCCTTCCAAAAGGTAGAACACCTGGGTGTGGTCCGTGACAGAAACATAGCTGGTGGTCATTTCAAGAGAATGATTTTGCACTAGTAGAAACTTCAAAAAGTGGGAACACATTCAAATATCATGAGCCATTGGTCATACAAAGTGGTTCATGGGGAGAAAAAAATACAAAGCAGATCCAAGTTGATAGGTATTATTTCTAAACAGAAATTAACAACTGAACAAATAACAAATGAAAAAATCTTCTCTTTCCCAGGCTATAAAGGCAGTATATAACATAAAAACAACTACCAATATATTCTCACATTAAAAAGGCACCGCAATTTGTTTTCCTATGAACCAGACACTTTACAAATTTTCTTGATTATTCTTGCAACAACCCTTTAAGGTAAGCATTACTATTGTCATTATATAGATGAACAGAAATCTGAAAAGATCAAGGTCATGAGTTCAATGTGAACTGGAAGCAAATGCTATTTTCTACACCAGACTGCTTCCCATGAAAGGGGAATGCTGGCCATCTCCTCAATCTATGCAACACTGGTGCTAAAAGAAGTAATTCAAATCATGTTATCTACAAAGGAAACACATGATAGGGAATTAATTGTTTATAATAGAGGTGATGTGAAGGGAAAGGAAGTAAATTTAAAAGAAGCATGACTGTTTAAGGTGTAAAACATGTGATGGAAAGAAAACGCATTGGAGGTATGATACCGCACTAGGGGATTCTGTTCCCGGGGGTGGGAGGAAGAGTGGTTGTGAGAAGTTTAAGGCGGAAGCAATGAGAAGTACTTAAATGGTGGCTAGTAGTAATCCAGAAAAAAGACAGCCACAATCCAACAGACTACAGAAGAGGGAAAGGGGGCGGGTCCCAGGGTTTGTAAAGTAGAAGGGGTTGGTAGGAATGGCAAAGTTTGATGGAGTGGGGGAGCGATTGAGAAGGCCACTAACACTGCAATTATCCAACCACTGACCCGCTTATTGTTCTGCCCAGGAATGGTCTCAAAACATTCAAAGTGGAAGAAATCAGTACCCTGTCCCCGCGTCGAGGATAAACAAGCCAAAGGACCTAAGAAAATGGAAGGTTTCTATGGCTCCATACACAAAGACGGAGTAAATGCAGGGAACCAGACAGGCTCTATTAATGTCTGCGCAAGCACCATGGAAGGAGATGGTGTAGACTAGATGATTCAGGCGAGGCTCTAAATTAGGACTGGGGAGGATAGGGAAAAATTTTACACCTCCCCTTAATAATGCATCCCAATATCTACGAAGCTGAGAGATTGTTTAACAGGGAGATAGAATTTGGGGAGGGGAAGGAATACACTAGTCAGTCTACAGACTGACCCTTCAACCTTAATTCAAAAGCTGTGGGAGCTGGGGAAGCGGAGCCCATCTCAGCTCAGGAAAAACTAGGGGTTTCATAAGGGTCGTTGCAAGGGCTGCGAAAAAGCAAGCACGCAAAAATGATGCAGAGAGCAGTCCTCGGTGTGTCCCCTCTCTCACCTTTTCATCTAATCCCCAGCCCACTACCCAATGAACTACCGACTCACTCCCACACTTTCCAACCCGCCCACTGCGACGACGAAAACGGAGGCGGAGAGCGATTGGTGGGGCAAAGGCAGGCCCACACGCGGCTAAGGCCGGTGGAAATGGTGTCGCCTTAGCCGGTAAGAAACAGGGTGGTCTTCATCTCAGGCAAGATTTACCGGCACCGCGACGTTTCGCCATTCGTCATTTCCTTAATGGCTGGCACCTGCGAAGCGTCACAAACGCGGATAGCTAACCCCTTAGTACCATGTACTAGCAAGACAGACATCAGCCTCCGACGCCATCTTAACAGGCGGACCGACCCTAGTCACTGCCCCCCCACCCCCAAGGTACCTCCGCCACCGCCGGCGAATCCCACGAGGACATAACCCGCTCCCGCGAGAACTCACCGGCTAAGAACAGCACCATCAGAAGACGCTGCTCGCGCCTCCGCAGCTCCTGCACTCAGCAGCCACCCTCGGCCGCCTCCGCGTGATCCCAGGAGAACCTCCACCGGACCGGGGAAAAACTGAGCCCAGCCCGTCCCAAGCCTCTCCTTACACCCAAGCCGAAATCGCTACAGCTCCGCTCTCACCCCACGCGAAGCGAAAAGCAAATGACGCACAACCTCACGGAGCACTAAGGGGCGGAGCCAATATGCCGCCGCCGGCTCCCGCATGCGCTGTGCGAACTATCGCGATATTACGTTCAGAATCGGCGAGACCTTCGTAATTCACTGCAGAATGCCATCCGCGCCTCGCCTTTAGGAAACGAGATATCGCGAGAACGGCTGCAGGATCCTAAAAAGGAGAAAGGCGGAGCTTCGTGAAAATGACTGGGAGTTTTTCGGGGAAAGGGAGGAAGCTCTCGTCCTTTAGGGATCTCGCTTACCACGAGGTTTCCGACCCACTGCGGAGCTCGCTACCAAACCTCGCGATGACACAGCTCAGCGCCAAATCTCGGCCATGTCTTGAAAACTGCCCCCGCCCCCGATTTAGGTGTCTAGAGCCTGCCTAGTGCTTGAGGAAAATTTAAAAAGTCAACCTGTTTATTCTCACGCTTCCCGCAGGGCTGTACCAATTAGCCAAACTCCATTCTGGAAGCGAAGAAATGGGTCCCCATTGTTACCTGCCTCGAGGAATGACGTGCTATCCTTACTAACACAGAAAAGATGTTCCGTATCGCAATAAACACACAAATGCAAATGGAAACAATGACACAACAGTTTTTGCTCATGGGGGAAAAAATTTAAAAGACCTCTAATATCCATATTTCTTCCGTCGCCGCACTGCAGGCTAACCTGAATCCATCTTAATCTAAGTAAAGGTTCATATTATTAGTTCTACCTCCAAAGTCACCAGATTTAACTACCGGAGCTTTACCTTAGCATAACCAGAAAGACCCAATAAAGTGGTTTTCTTCAAACAAAGGAGTCTGCCCTCAAAAGCAAATTCAAGCTTGGGGTGGGGAAGTAGGTGTGTGAAGATTTTAATATGGCAGTTTTTCCATGTCTAACCAACAGTGTTTCTCCAATAAATCTTGGGATCCAGTCTGGCCCGTTTGTGGGCTTTTCCATTCTAATGCATTGTTCTGTCTATTCTAATTTAAACATGCTACCTTCAGAGTACAGTTTAATAGTAAAAGTATCCCCCATCTTTAGTTATTTTTAAAAACATTTTCTCGATTATTCTTAGCCATTCTCCCATCACGAACTTTAGGACTGTTAAGTTCCAAAAACTTAGTCTATTTATTGGAATTGCATCAATTGCATAAATCAATATAGAAAAATGGACATCACTACAAAATTGAGCCTTCCTATTCAGAAGCATAATATTCTCCATTTATGCAAACGCTCTTCTATTGTAGTCCTCAAAGTTTTACAGTTTACTTCCAGATATTTTTTATTTTTCTTGGTATTTAGAGTAGGACTTTTTAGTATTTCAAAATGTTCATTGCTTATATACTGGAAGACGTCATATTTGACTATTCACTTTTGCAATTAGAAAAATGAAAACATCCTCAAATATAGTAATAATCAGTAAAATGCAAATGAAAGCAACGACATGTGCTTTTTTTACTCTAACTGGAAAAATATAAAGATCAGTAACAATTTATGTTGGCAAAACTATGGAAAAATAAGCAATCTCGCACTACATTGGGTAGTATAAATTATTATGGCCTTTGGGTAAGGGAATTTAGACAAATCTATCAAAATTCAAAATGCGTACTTTTTGATTCAGTAATTACTCCTCAAAGAATTTCTCCTACAGAAATACCTTCATACAAGCAAGAAACATACACAAACCCATTCATTACTGCATTACTTGCAATAGTCCCCTCTCCCCCAAAGAAAACAAGCTGGTGTACAACAATCAGGATATGGTTAAATAACTATAGTCCAGGCATGCAACGCAACGGTAGGTATAAAAATGGGACAAATTCGGATTCCCTGATAAGAGAGCTGTAAGACACATTGTTTTAAAAAAATCAAAGCAATTAGACAAAATGAATGCGTGTCCAGCACCATACATATACATACACATCAGGACACGCGCGCGCGCTCCTAGTACTAACCATGAAGTCTGCCTGCTCGCCCCTCACCTTCCTTTTCCTCTGAGGCCGCCTTCCTCCAATCCTTAAAAGAAAAACTGAAGACCTGGCCTTTACTCCCCCCTCTAAGGGCACTTGATCAAGGCTAAAGCCCGTACCTTGCGTCCCCAGTGCTGGCCGCTCTCTTGCGCACTGTTCGCTGTCCTGCTGTCCCCAAAGATGCAGCTAGCTCTCTGCTGGAGGCCGCTGAGGACTGGGGGGGGAGGGGAAAGGAGGAGGGGTTCGGGGAAGGTTGCTGCTGTCGCCTGGCCCCTTTAGCAGTCTTTCCCAAGGCTCCCTAAGGCCGCCCCCTCCGAGACTCGGAGCCGGGTCCCGTGGGAACTGCCCCCTACCTCGAGGAGTCTAAGATGGCCCGTCCCCCAGGCCCGGGAAGCGGGGAGGGGGGTAGACGCTCACCTCAGCCGCAGTGGCTCGGCGGGGCCTGCAACTGCGAGCAGGGTCTGCGGCCAGCAGCAATACTGTTCCCCCCCCAACCCCCTCCTCGCCCTCGGTTTAAAAAGCCTCCCCCTGCGGCTCAGCTCACACTGGATTTAAGGCTCCACCTACCACGCGATTAGCTCCGCCTCTGTCCCTTGAGAGGGCTCTCCTGATCCCTTGGTGGTGTATTCTGGTCACCTTGCGGGGAGCTACTCATGGCCCAATAAAGGCAACTATAGATAGGATCACTAATGAACTGGGATTTGATTCTTGTACAATGGAAATCCATGAAGGGGATAAAACTTGATTTACATTTTAAAAATTAAGGAATGGGGAAGGATGGGTAAGAGGGCAAGATGGGACACATTGTGGGGGACCAGAGAAAGGGAAGAAGAGAACTACAGTGCAAATCCACAGAACACTTTAGGCACAGCGATCCCTCAAACATTTCTCCTTTATACTATGTAAGGTGGCACTGTGGCTGGAGTACTCTGTAGAGGATCTACATTTGTAAAAATGACCTGGAAGGAGATAATCCTATTAACCTCTAATCTCTGGGATACAGCATGAAATTGGAAAGCGAAGGGATTTGGGGGGAGCATTGATTTGCAACTCAGAATGTTTCAATAAGGTTCGAATTTTAACAAATGTATCAATTTGATGTTTAGAACAAAAGTGAGCCAGGTGGTGATAGCCCGCATCTTTAATCCCAGCACTCAGGAGGCAAACACAGGTGAACCCTGAGTTCAAAGCCAGCCGGGTCTACAATGTGAGTTCTAGGATGACCAGGGCTACACAGAGAAACCCTGCCTTGAAAAGAAAAAGAAAAGGAAAAAGACAAAGAAAAAGAAAAGGCACTAGTGGAAAAACCCTTGAGACATTAATTCCGACATTGCAGAACAGTGGGCCATGGATTGAATTGGGAATCTGCTGAAGGAAACCATTACCTCCGTCCATGTGTATAGTTACACAGTAAGTTTTCTGTACAACCTAAGATGCACAGACAGCCCTCTCAGGTTGTCTTGTTGTATGTTCTTAACAAAGATGTATTTAGTAAGTGAGTGTTATTCCATTATAAGGTGAATTATTTAACTAATACCCTATGTTAAATCTTAATTATTATTCAAGCAAAAAGCAGACATTGGAAAGGACTGGCCATGGTTCTGTACCATTCATCCATCACCCTGGCTTCAAAAAGGGCTGCAAGATAATCAAGAAAATCACATCAATTATGAGCAGTAACTGATCAGAGAGGTGTATAGCTTTGCCGGACAAAACAGCACACAATGAACAGACTTGAAATCTCCAAGGACAAAAGGGTCCATAAATTCACCAAGGAAAGTGTGGGGATACATTTATGCCAAAAGAAAGAGATGCTGAGCACAATCTTTCTTGTGTTGAAGAAAGCCACTGCCAAAAACTAAGCCCCCACTGCCTTTGCATATAAAAAAATACCTAAAAATACTTACAGAAAAGAGAAAGGGGGTATAGCACTACTAATTGGAACTTCACTATAACTAAATGTGTATTTCTAAGACTTTTCTAATGCTGATGTTTGTTGAAAAGAAGTAGCTAGACTCAGAAACTTGCTCCTCCCCAAAACAGAAAACCTCTCCAGAACAGTTTCAACATGCAGGCTCACCTGAAATTTAAGAAAATTCCAGTTTGTTTAGAATATTTCTATGCTCTCGCCCACCCATTTAATAAGCACCTTCAATTGTAGAATCTGGTCTCTTACAGCATCTGCTTCAACTCTAATAACCCACGGTGCCCACTCTTATTATAACCCCTGCCTTTCTACTGTTAGTTTCCTAACCCCCAAATCCAATTCCACACCTCTAATTCTAAAATCCCCTATGTACAATAGCCATAGTTTACATCTAAGTCTGCAGCTAGTTCTTTTGCTACCTCCATCCCCTCCAATATTAATTTCAACAAGTACCATCCCCCACATACATTTTGATTTTCTTATTGTAGAAATATTAACAGTATATATGAAAGCATGAAGAAAACAGTAAAAATTGGACTCATGGAGCTGGGGAGATGGATTCATGGTTAAGAGCACTGGCTGTTCTTCCAGAGACATGGGGTTCAATTTCCAGCACCCACGTGGTAGCTCACAACTGTTTATAATTCCAGTTCCAGGGGACGCGACACCCTAATGCAGACATACATGCTGGCAAAACACCAATGCACATAAAAATTAAAAAAATAAATGAAAATGAAAAAAAATGTAAAAGGAGGGGAGGGAAGGACTGGGTATATAGACGGCTGGAAAAATGCTTGTCTTGAATGTGTGAAGCCCTGAGTTTGAGCCCCAGCACAGGAAGACAGACAGACAGACAGACAGAAAGAAAGAGAGAGAGAGAGAGAAAGAAAGAAAGAAAGAGAGGAGAGGGAAGGAGGGAGAGAGAGAAAGAAAGAAAGAATGAGAGGGAGAATAACTAAATTTGCAAATAAAGTAAAATAAAATAAATAAATTGGACTCACAATCCAGAGAGGACATAATTGTTCTTATTTTATGCTCACTTAACATTTTTCTACATATTACATCTAATATATATAGTTCTAAAGAAAACTATAATACAGTAAATTATTAATGACTTAGTGAATATTTGTCATAATATTGAATATTTGTCTATAAAATTTCTAGATTTTTTTCTGCCTTCCACAGAAGTGCCTTTATTTATTTACAGAACCTAGGAAATGATAGCCTATATATTAAAAAAAGGAAATTCCAAAATCTTCTATCAGCATCTGAGTAGTGGTGAAAGGGCCTTTCATTTCCAATAGCAGCCACCTTCAGGATGAATCGCCATAAGCTTCTCTCCATCAGCTGCCAGCCATTCAGGCCTAAACAACTTGTGTCTTCTGAAATCTTGATTGGCTTCTGCGTTCTCAGTAGACCTCTGTCCCTCTGGGTCAGCTCCCTGTCTTATAGAATCCCATGATTGTCAAGAACTTCCTTAAGGGAGAGGACATACAGATAGGGCAGGAGCAGGAGAACTTGTTCCATTTGCAGTCTAAAATCTTACTGAGGTCCGCAGTCATTGATAGTGCAGAATATTGGGTTCTCAAGCCTGAAGGGACTGAGACACCCACACCCCCATCTCTTCTATTAGACAGGACTTCTGCTTATCACCATTGACGATATGGTTGCCTTAGCGTTCCAAGTAATGCTTGTTATTGTTCATCATTGGCACACCTCCTTGAGGAATGGCACACTGATCCAGTGGATCTTGCCAAACAGCTTGCTCGTTACTTCTTTGCTGCAGATACTCTCGAGAGACAGTAGGTTGTTTATTATTCCACTCGACCCTGTGGTTATAATCCTCCTTGTACTATTGGATATCCTCATTGGTGAGATGGGAGAATATGTCCAGCATCCTAATGCTCTGAGTGGATTGCACTGGAAAATCACCAAAATCCAGCTGATACAACATAGTATGTGGACACCAAAAGCTCACCAAAAGTAACAGGTAAGTGATGCATAGTGAGATCAAGTGTCTTTCATGGTCTCCTTGCTGCCCCAGCACCACCTTTTTTTTTTTAAATTAACTTTATTTATATTTTACATCCCAGCCACAGTTTCCCCTCCCTCTTCTCCTTCCATCCCCTCCCCCACTTCCCCACTACCCCTTAATACCACTATCCACTTAAGTTTCTTCTTTTTTATTTCTTTACTTCTTAATTTTACATCCTGGCTGAAGTTTTCGTCCCTCCTTTCCTCCTAGTCCCCCCCCACACACTCTGTTCTCACTCGACAATGCACTCCTCCTCTGTTTCTGTTCAGGAAAGAGCAGGTTTCCCATGTATATCAACAAAACATGGCATATCAAGTTGCAGTAAGACTAAGCACCTCCCCATGTATTAAGGGTGGGTAAGGTGACCCAGTATGAGGAATGGAGTCCCAAAAGCTAGTTAGAGTCAGGGACAGCCCCTGTTCCCACTGTTAGGAGTCCCACAAGAGGACCAAGCTACAGACCTATAATATATATGAAGAGTACCTAGGTCAGTCCCATGCAGGCTCCCTGGTTGTTGGTTCAGTCTCTGCGAGCCCCTTTAACCCCAGGTTAGCTGATTCTGTAGGTTTTCTTGTGATGCTCTTGACCCCTCTGGCTCCTACAATCCTTTCTTCCCCCTCTTCTGAAGGATTCCCCATGCTCAGCCTAATGTTTGGCTGTGGGTCTGCATCTGTTTACATCAGTTGCTGGATGAAGCCTCTCTGATGACAACTGGGCTATGCACCAATCTGTGAGTATAGCAAAATATCTTTTTTTAAAAGATTTATTTATTTATTGTGTATACAACATTCTGCCTCCATGTATGCCCGCACGCCAGAGGAGGCTGCCAGATCTCAGTACAGATGGTTGTGAGCCACCATGTGGTTGCTGGGAATTGAACTCAGGACCTCTAGAAGAGCAGCCAGTGCTCTTAACCTCTGAGCCACCTCTCCAGCCCATAGCAGAATATCTTTAGGCATCATTACATTGACATTTTTTCGCCAGTCGTGTTTAGTTCTACCCAAGATCTCTGGACCATCCAGCATACCAGCACCTCCTTTTAATCTCTGAGAGCTTGTTGCTGGAAGATGACCATTTCTCAGGCTTTGTCACAAATATTTATGGCGGAATATTCTCTCCCACAAGTCAGCTCTGTCCCATCAGTTGGATCCCAAATAACCACACAGAGACTTACTATTATTATTGAGTCTCTGTATAGTTATTTATAAATGTTCAGCCAATAGGTTAGGCTTATTAATAACTAACTCTTACAACTTAAATAACCCATATTTTTTATCTATGTTCTACCACGTGGCTTGGTACATTTTCTCAGCATGGCATGTTCATCTTGCTTCTCCCCATGTCTCAAGATTCTCCATGTCTCAAGATTCTGCCTTCCTTATCCCAGCAAGTTCTCTCCCTGTTCACAAGTACCATCTAACTTTTTCCTCCCTGGCTATTGGTCTTTAATTTAGCTCTTTATTAAACCAATGAGAGCACCACATCATGACAGTGTACCAAAAGTATATTCCACGACATCGTGGTCCAGACACTGAATGGGCTCTTCCCAAATTCATCCATAAATA